GGATGCTTGTCTTTATCAGCGTGATTGAACATCGAAACTTTTTTTTTATTATTTTTTTTAATTAGCCCAGACCAAATAAATCCATTTCGTGTAACAGGCTTGGTTAGCCCAAGTTGAAAGGAAAAGGTACGGAATGGTCCGTAAAGGGTTACAGGCTACGCCTATTCGAAGACCAGATCACGAGGATAATCCCGACTCCTTAGACTCTGGTTTTTTATATATTGATGAGATTATGCCCCACAGCAAATATAGAATTAACTACTAAAATAAAAACCCTGTGAATTTGCTCATCAATTGAAATTAAGTTTTTTTTCTCTTTCATGATCTTAAAGACATATATTTCACATCGATTGATTAAATTCACAGAAGTTTAATGAATAATTCTTTTTTTAATATTGATTTTAAATTTAAAGCTAAAAAAAAACCATCTTCGTTGCGGGACCAATCTCTCAACATTACAAATGGTGCGTGATTTGGGCGGGCATTGGGTATTGGAAATCAGCTTGGAGAGGTGCTGGAGGGCTTGAAGTTGAATTTAAGCTTTAGTTGAGGCGCAATTCAAGAGAGGTAATCATCAATTAAGGGCAACTGTCAAAGCACAAGGGCCCCCGTAAATACAAATTGACAGGAACTTCCACAAAAATGTTCAGTGCTTCATGTCAAGATTCTCGTATCTGCATTGCAGGAAACCATGTATTAGATATGGAGTGTAGTGTAAGCTAGAAAATTTGCAAGACTCCACCGAATCAGAATTGGATCGGTTACAAGTGAAGTGCGGTAGCAAATTTAGGACATGCTGAGCTGGGGTTTTAGCATCATTCTTCTCCTTGATTCTTTTGAGATTTGACATTTTCAAGTGTTTTGAGTTCAAGAACAATGGCTTTTTCGTTCTTACAAAATGGGAAATCAGTGGTAACCAACAAGCGTGTCTTACATGGCACCAAAGGTCTGGAATTGAATCCCACTTCAAATTGGACAGGCATGACCAAATCCATCAAGATTTTTTGTTTTAAAATAGGGACCCAAACTACATATTAGATTTGGACCTTAGCCCAAGACTGTTTATTCAATAGCTTTTCCAGGAAACTGGAACTGGGCTCCCTACTCGCTAATGTGAATATGGTTTGATTGCAAGTTTTTCCAAAGGGAGATTTCCGCCCTCAAGTTAGGATTGAACCAGAGACGATCAACAAATGAGTGAAAGAAGTCAGGAGGGCGGCGCATGAATGAGGGGAGCTAAAAAGAAGAAAACTTGATGATGAAGGTGTCAGGAGTGATGGCGGGCGGGGGAGTGGTAGGAATCTGATATGGAAGGTCTATCAGCTACTGTTAGCCTTTTAAGCTGAAAGGATTACATCTTTGACATCAATAGCTTTCCTCACTCAGCCATGGTGTCGTGCCCCATCTTTTACTATTGAGATCTTTGGTCACCCCTTTTAAATACATGGTACCACTGCAGTAATGAAACTGTCGAAACACTTCACATGAAAATATTAACTTTCCCTAGCCAATAAGGTATGCACTTGAGTCGCATCTGTAAAATACGTTCCTCGTAGAATGAGAGATATTTTGATATTTAAATTGATATTTGATTCTTCTTTTCACCTCACAAACAGATGTAATAAAATACATTTCTCATAAAATAGGATATTTTAATATTTAAATTGATGTTTGAGTTTTTTCTCACATCACAGGCATATACAAAATCATGTTTTTGTGTAAAGAAAAGGTTTCTGTGTTCTTTGTCTCATTAAATATGTTCTCTATATAGTAAAGAGATAATAAATATAGTATTCATCGATAAATAATCCTCTAGATTCTCTCTCTTAAAAACAAAAAGTATATAACTTAAAAAATATCCTAAGAATATAGATAAAAATATCTAAAAAAAATTATTTTTTATAAATAATAATAAATAGTACCATGCAAGAATAGTACCATGTAAATAGTATTATTTATTAATTAATATTCAAGAAAAATAAAATAAATTGAGATAAAGTAGTTCAATCAGACTAGCCTAAGAGGTTGTTTGTTTCTGTGTTTTAAAAACACTTTTAAAAAATTTTAATTTTTTAATTTTTTATTAATTTTAAATTAATATATTTTTAGTATTTTCAAATCATTTTGATTTGCTGATATCAAAAATAATTTTTAAAAAATAAAAAAAAATCATTAATATGTATTTTGGTACGAAAAACTATTTAAAAAATAACCGCAATCATACTTTCCAACAAACCCTAAAAAACAAAAAAACAAAAAGAGATGAAGCTTGGTCTAACCGAATTACGAAAAGCTATTTAAAAAACAACCGCAATCATATTTTCCAACAAACCCTAAAAAACAAAAAAAAAAAAAAGAGATGAAGCTTGGTCTAACCGAATTTAAAGACTAGGGCCTCCTTTTGAACAGCAAATAATATTTATAAATAGTAAATATTATTAGTATTAATTTAATATTAATAGTAAATAAGATTATATTAAATTAAAAAGTAAAAAAAAGAAAGATAGAACTTCTTCAGCCACGGTAAAACCGAGCTGCTTCTTCTTTTTTTTTAATGAATATAATTTCATGTAATTAATTAAACTACATAAAATTGAACAGGCAAACATATAGTGTCACACTCACTCATAAAATCTATTATAAAAAAATAAATAATATAGTAGTAAAATAGAATAAAAAAAGACAATGATATATACAAAACTAACCGTGTATAAAAATTGAATCCACATGTAATAAATTTTTATAAAAGGTAAGAAAATAAATGAAGATCATCTATATATAGGGTCCATGAGACCACTGACACGTAAAAACCAAAGTCAGTGTTTGGTTTTGGAAATTCCTATGGATATTGCAGTCGATAACTATATCTTTTCTTTAAAAAAAAATAAAAAAAATTGGGATATACTCGACTTAAACTACGTGATTGTTTGATCTGGTTCTATCCAAGTTACTTGGACTAGAATCGTTATATTTAAACTAAAAAAAAAACATATCTTTTCAGTTCTTTTTTTCTTTTGCTGGTTGCTCTAATCAGAAATTTTGAAAGATGTGGGGCTGGTATACATATAATAGAAAGAATTAGATTAACTCTTCATTTTCAAGTTTTTAGTTAATTTTGGTTCCGAAGACATTTCTTTTTCCAGGCCTACTTTCTAGTTTCCCCAAAGTTTTAACGTTCGCCAACTTTTTCATGAAACTTCACTTTCAGTTTCATGTGATACTACTACACACTTCCATGCCTCAAATTTCCCATCTTATGTTTGGTTTCCATTTCTTGTTCGGAGCTCTTAGGGGGAGAATCACTTTGTTATGCGAGGGATTATCATGGTCCCCACTAGAGTTAAGACAATGACCTCTACCTGTTTTTTGTTGGCTTGTATTCATCAGTCTCTGGGACAAGCTCTTGAGGGCGGCAGTCTCTCTGCATCATGATCATTTTGCCTTTGCTAAAGGAATGGACCAACTTCGAGAACAGTACAGGGCCAAGATGGCAGGCATAACTGCAAGAAACTTAAACCGGTCCCCAGCTACAGTCACATTGCCCCAAAACCTGGACCTTGTGAATGCTCCTTCGTATAATTCTTTTGGGTGGCGACCCAAGCTAATGCTTTCCATGTCTTTCTTTAACCAGACAGACAAAATGCAGGTCTCCAGCGGCTCCTTATGCGAAATGGCTAGCAGAAACTGTGTCCCACAAGGTTAATGGCGTGAAACTTGCCTCCAAACCCTTTCTTGCATAACTTGATTGAACATATATCCCAGCACAAGTTTATCATGCGACACGCATGGATTACACTTACAAGACCAGGTATTGGCTCGACTTGCTGTAACTAAGTTGATATATCAGACCCTGTGTGGTCTAGTCACAAGCTATATTGTCAAACGATGCGCCCAGTGAAAGAGAGGGAATTGCGTTAATTAACTCTCTCCTAAGTTGAAGCTATAGGCACTTCATGTCTAGCCTAACTGTGTTCCTTCCTCGGCCTGTTATTAGCTTCTCCAAACATCATTGATGACACTTTAAATCAGGCCCGGCTGGGTCATTTTTTTGACCAACTTCTGATACTGGCTGGCTGCTGAAAATACATGGTGTTATCCCTTATCGCCGGTCATGGACAATTGTTTTCCGAAGTATTAGTAGTTAATTATCTTCTGACTTCATAGGAACATCATTTATAGAGTGTTTGATGGGATGAAATAAATACTCTATTTTCTTACAGATTTAATAGTAAATGGATTTGTTTCTGACATTATCTCTTCTAACGACCTAAAACTTGATGATGAAGAAACTTAAATTCGAATAAAACTTCCACACACTAGCAAGAATTGGACAGGAAATAAACACATAATATCAAAAGAATGAATTTCCCTAAATTATCCTACTGTTACATCCCAACCAAATGGCCGGGATCCATCCACAGGAAATTTGTCAAGTAACTAAACCAGAAACATTTATTGGATGTTGTTTGTTCCTGAATTTTCACAAGTATTTGCTGCTGCTGCTAGAAGCTGGGGTGAAGATTTGAGCGACTCCGAAATATTACTTGGCCATTACCAGTTGCAAAAAGGCTAGTTCAATAAATACAACAAAAGATGCTAGTTTGGTGGTTTGTTATGTCATCACCATGATTGGTCAGTTTTTTTTGTTTCAGGCCATCATTAATTCTCTCTCTCTCTCTCTCTCTACAGTGCTTTTACAACAGCACAAAACAGACAGCCTCCAGCCTCTCTGGCTACAGTTTGAAAAATCCCTGTCCGTGGCTACTAGACTGTATCAGTAGGAGTGCTCCCTGACCACTCCCAACCAGCCAACCCAGCCAAACACCAAGTTGGTACAAAGCAGTCTACACGACCACCACAAACAGGCAAATGCGAGCCCCACCATTTCAAGGTCCCAAGGGAGGTGATGTCAAAATGCACAGATCATCGCAAAAAATAACACTAAAGAATCAGCAAGATGGTATATAGATGTGCATGACACTAGAGAGCATTGTGCACGAAGAATAAAGCTGCAGTTTTTTTTTTTTTGAATTTTTGCTTCTTGTTTCTATATAGATATAATCCTTTGTACATAATTCAAGATACAGGATGCTCCCACTACAATCTTAATACCCAAAGTTAAATTAGACTGCCTCCTTTTGATAAAGTGCCTGCTAAAATACACAAAAGACCCCCACTTTTGCCATTCCTTTATCACCCAAGTCATTTATACCGCGTACCAAACCATTATGGAACGGTTGGTATATGACCCAAAATCAAGACTACAAAGCAAAGAAAGAAAGCTTAAAACACTCCTTTATAGAGCGACTTCAGTCTGCAAAGTTGTAGTATTGAACCCCACCTGTTGTTGGTGTTGCTGTGGTGATTGCTGCTGCTCAATCTCCCAGCTAGCCTTGGCTATAACTCCATCATGCACAGGCACGTACTCCTGATTAAAACAAAAAACAGTGCCATCATTCACAAACAAACAATACAACAGAACAAGAAAAGGAGCACCAAGATAGCAAACTGGGAAAGATTCTTTCTTCAAACACCAGATTGTCTTTTCCATATTTATGAGCTACTTCAACATGTTATAATACAATAAAAAATAAAGCAAAACATCAGTAACCTACCCACCTCAAGTTTTTGAACGAGTTCTTTGGCACTTGGTGCAGAGACAATGATGTTTCGTTGGGAAGGCTTGATAAAGCCATCATCCACGGCTTTGTCAATGAAAGTCAGAAGATAATTGTAGTAACCATCAACGTTAAGCAAACCCACCTGCTCATTTTTTGGAAACAGGGTCAAGAGCTTGAAATAGAGAACTCGTGATGTTTTTGTTGGGCATATAAGGAAACTCACAGGTTTGTCATGGATGCCTAACTGAGCCCAAGTAATCACTTCTAATAATTCCTCCAGAGTGCCATAGCCACCTGAAATCGAAGTCGAGGGATCAAAAAGGAGAAATTAAAAACACAATTGATTACTACAAGAGCAAAAAGGAGACAAAAGGTGTTTACATGATCTATTAAAACAGGAAAAGAGAGAAATGTATGGGACCTGGTAGGGCTATAAAACAATCAGAATTGCGGGCCATTTCTGCCTTTCTTTGGTGCATGTCGGCTACTGGTTTAACCTCTCCAACTGTTTCTCCTGTGATCTGGGGTTCCACACACATACGCATATAAAGACGCAATCTTTACATCCAGTGAAAGCTAAAAGTTTCAAACTTTAGACTCCTCTAACTGAAAAACAACCAACAATTAAAACATAACATGAAGAAAATACATCACAAATTAGATTTTGCACCTCTTTACTCATCAAAGTCCTTGGTATGATCCTATAAAGAAAACCCAAAATCGAAATTAGGCTAGTCATGCAGAAAAACGAGAAACCAAAAACCTAAACAAACCAGAGGAGGCAAGAACGAGTAGTTGTATATTGTACCCAAGAACATTGCATCCACCTCTATGAACTGCTTGAGAAACCAAACCCATTAGTCCAATGCTTCCACCTCCATACACAAGATCCAACCTTTTCGCCACCTTAAACATAAAACATGAAAAACCTTAAACACCAAGCACAAAAACCCCAGAAAACACAAGGATAACTCAGAAAAGGTCTAGCCTTTGAAGTAGTTATACCAGCTCTTGGGCTAGTTCAATGGCAGCATCTCTGTAGCAGTTTCTTTTCCCAGTACTGCTACCACAAAACACACAAACACTTTTGAATCTTGAAGGTTTCACTGCTTTCCCCTCCATTATCCTACTGTCTTTTTGCAAAATTTGGCGTGTCTAGATCAATCAGTAAAGGAACTAAACAACGCTTGTAGGTTTTGTGTGAATACTATGCTGCAAAGTTAAATGAAACAGAACAGCCACTATTTATAGACACAACAAAACAATAGTATTAAAAAGAAAATCAAATACTACAGCGATTAAAACAAACAAGATAAAAGAGGTGCTTATGGACGTGACAGTTGCTTTTTCCAAGTTATTTTTATACAAAAATATATTAAAAAAATATTTTTTATTTTAAAAAAATTATTTTTTATAACAACATATAATAATAATTTTAAAATATAAAAAAAATATTTTAAAAAAAATACGGTCACTTTTCCAAACATTACTTAAAGAAATAAAAAACAAAAAACTTGATAAGGATAATTTAAAGGTTACCTTTTAAAAACAAATTATTTAAAAATAAATTAATATAATTTTTTTATTTTTTAGAATTTATTTTTAATATAATCACTTTTAAAATATTAAAAATTAATTTTAAAAAAATCACAACAAAATCAAAAACATGCATAATGTGACAAAGAAAGATAAAAAAAGATTTAAATATGTTTATTTTTCTATTTTAAAAAATTAAAATTTTTTGTTGTTTTATTTAATTTAAATTATTATTATTTTAATATTTTTAAATTATTTTAATATAGTGATTTTAAAAATAATTTTTATAAAATAAAAAATATTATTTTAATATATTTAAAAATAAAAAATATTTTAAAAATAATTACACCTACCCTCGCAAACAGTTTCTCAGAGGAACAGATGGAAAGTCTGTGCTATCCACCTTACTTACACGTGTCTTATTGTGGTAACTTGAATCATCTTGATTATAGCATAGACATAATCAAACTCCACCTCTCCCTTTCTGTGACATTTTTATAATGCAATGCAATTATAACTTGGAGGTTATAACGCGTGCAGCGGCTCCCTTCTCTGTAATCAAATCAGGGCAAAATTTATATGCTATTATTTAAGTTAATGCTGGTTATTTTTTAAAATGTTTATATTTAAAAATATATTAAGATAATATATTTTATTTTTTAAATTTTATTTTTATTATCAATGTATTAAGATAATCTAAAAATATTAAAAAACTAATTTAAAATTAAAAAATTAAAATTTTTCATGTTCACAATTCAACAGCACTCTCTGATACACCTAGAGCCAGTTGAGGATGAGCCATAACTAGCTAGCAGCCAACGTAGGGAAAAGCAGGTAGTGGCAGTGTGTGAATGCTTAGATTAGATATACGGAGGCTTGGCCTGATAATTATGATAAGTTATCAGTGACCGTTTAAAGCTGCGGTACAATTTATTTTTTATTTTAAATTAGTTTTTTTAATTTTTTTAATTATTTTAAAATGCTAATATTAAAAATAAATTTAAAACATTATTATTATAATATATTTTCAATAAAAAACAACCATAATTATATTCTCAAACACCCGTCTATTAATCATGTACCGATCCTTCTGTTGCATGGCTGATGATATTATCATTCCCAGAAAACCCTATCCTGTTCTCCACCCACTAGCTGTTCTTATCCACGAGCAAAGTCTTCCTAAAAAGAAAAGCAAATGGAATTGAAAAACTCAATCGAAAAGAGGAAGAACTAAACTTGGGGCTGGAAATATACAGCAGATCTTATCATGGTCCATGCATGAATAAGTTACAGTGTGCACATCATCGTCAGACCTAAATGCAATACTAAATATTCTAAAATTTAATAACGATCGCATGTTTTCTTTTACATCTAGATACGCTAATCTGGGGATGAAAATACACCAGCTGCCAAGTACAACTAATCCCACTCTAATTAGTTAACTACTGGTGATCCAGGGGGTTATCAGAACCCAACTGCGGGTTATTCTTTTAATTAGCAAATTACTCTGAAAGTTTTATGAAATAATATATTTTGATATTATGATGATTTAATAACATGATATTTAGTAAATGCTATTATTAAAAAGCATAATAATTCTAAATATTATGTTTCTAAAAGATAATATTAGTAATAATTTAAATGTTTTTTCAGGTTAAATAACACACAAACCAGATATTTTTCTCTAATATCAAACGATACCCTTGTAATTTCTCTATAAAAAAAACCCATCAAGTACTAAAACAATTGAGCATCCTTTGACATATTTCAAGTTCAAAATTCATCGTTTTCTTTTTTGTTGCTACCTTCTCAACTTTTTTTTTAGTCTTATAAAAAAAAATAAACATACTAAATTACTATTCAATCATATATTTCGGTTTAGAACAATAACATTTATCCACAATAAAATTATAATTAATATTATTTTATGAACCATAATATTAATTAAATATTAAAAAAAAACCACACCCTCCTAAAAATATACTATTCCATCACAACCTTTTGTTCCTGTGTTAAATATTTTCATCATTTATTTGTAATTTAAACCCCAACTGCAATGAAGTGTGGTTGTAGCAGTTAAAACATCACAGAAATGATAACAATACTAATCATTATGTTATCACTTCCACGATTAAGGTTTTGGCACAAGTGTGCAGTATAAGTAATCAATCTGTTTGCTGCTGGGCCAAATCAAAGAAATTGACTCTTGTTCTCTCCACCCTACCAGTAACTATGTATTTAGAACATTACAGTCACTTGTCCATAAACTTCAATATCAAGTTAAACTTTCACTAGATTTGTCTGTCCCCCAGAAAACATGAGTTGTCAGCTAACACCGCTCGTTAAATCCAGACCTCCTTAATGACGTACGTCGTTAAGACCTTTTTACATGCTAAAGAACAACGCTAACCCACTTAGTTTAGGACTTTTTTCTTTTTCTTTTTTTCTTTTTTAATCTACTTTACGACTGTCTCTGATACGTTTTAGGTCTTAGATCAGTTAAACAAGCAACCATGGTTCATATCAACTAGGAGATCCCATGGGGATCTTCTACGTAATTTTTATTGATTATATGTGTTGATTACTTGTTTGTACACTAATTTTGATTAGTATTGTTAGCTCATGATCCTCTGGGCCACTTAGCAAATGGATAAGAAAAAATTTATGGCACTGAAAATGTAATTTTGTCAATATTTGCCTTTGAAAGGTATTGTAAAACAAAAAATAACGTATTAAAAAATCAATTAGAAAGAAAATCAATTTGAATGTGTAAAAAGCTAGCTCATCTTGTTATATCGTTATTATCATTATACATAGATGATATCAGTTAGATTATTAACAACTTAAATTCACGGCAACCTTAGCTTACCATGTTAATGAAGAGACATGACAGCAAGAGGAACTCAACTAATCAGACAAGTTGGTCTTGGGTATATTCCAACAGAACTGACCACAAGCTCAGCCTTGCATGTAAAAGGAATTTATCAAGCAACACATCAATGAATGAATTCCCAATGGGGAGATAAAAATTGAAACGTCAAGATAAGTCTGCTGCAGCAGCAGCAGCAGCAGCCGCCTCTCAAATTCTTTTGCTTGTAGAAAACCCACGAAGCCTCTCCTCCTCCTCCTCCTCCCCTCCTCTTCCTCCTCACTTGTCACATCTTGTTAATGAAGGCGAGTTCGGTTATTGGAGGGACAGGGTGGCCGTGGGATTCACTTGAAAGATATTTTTTATGACTTTTGATTGGCGCTATCGAGCTGATCCTAGGGGCTCCTGCAGGAGCACGTTTCTACTCCTGATTGGCCGGCCCCATCAGAGCATCAGGGCATGTTGTGTCTTGGTGTTAACATCTTGCTACAGTTGAAGTTGCGGTTTAATTTGACGGCAGGATGCTCGTGGGCCCAATTTAATTAATCCCACCAATCAAATTTTTACATTTTTATTATAAAGTTTCAAATTTAAATTTTTAAGGAGATGAAATAGAGATTTTTAAGTATTAGAAAATAACTATTTCAATTTTTCTGTCAAAGATATGTTAGACGTCTGGTTGAACTTGTTCAAGGGCCGGGATTCGATCTGTGAAAACAATTGACTACGTGTATATACCACTTGAAATTAGAAAAAGAAAAAAACTAGGTAGAAAAACAATCAAGTCATGCTGATTGACCTGCAATCTATGCTTGGTTTCGCTTAAAGTTCAACGGGGTGGTCGTAGAAAACTATTTGTTTATAATTTTAAAAAATCTATTTGTTTAAAGTAAATTCTTTTAATGATTTTTTATTGTTTTTATATTTTGTTGTTAAAAATAAAATTTTAAAAATAAAAATATTTTATTGTATTATATTTTCAAATAAAAAATATTTAATAATGCAAAATTAACTATTTAATAAACAAATCTAGATTATTGAATATACTTTTAAAAAAAATATATTGGAGGTTTATATAATTATTAATTTTAAAATTTATAAAATTAATTAAGACATATATCTTGAATATTTATATTAATAATAAAAAAAAAAAACGTGAATCTAATCTAGTTTTATAGAAAGAGTTGATAAGCATGTAAATGAGGTCAGATGCAAAGGAAATGAGTCCAAATCTCAAACACCAAAGCCCAACAAGATTTGTTGCATAATTGCCGACATTAAACTATTTAGCTCTTAACATCTGCAAGGTAAAGAGCAGTAATTAAGCGACTTGTAGTGTTTTTTTAAATTAAAAATATAAAAAAATAGTTTTTAAAATTTTTAAAATTCATCATATATTTAAAAAACAAAAAATTAATTTAAAACTAAAACAACAAAAAAAATATAAAAAAATACAGCTGGAGGGCAATGAGATAGCAGGCCTCACTGTTAAAGCATGTGTGAAGTTGGGCTGGCAAAAGGCTGTTAATTAAGTTGCTACTGTTTAACTATGCTGATAGGAAGGGCATGGCCCATGTCAAAGAAAGGGAGAGAGAAATGTATCAGTGTGCCCCTAGCTCTGGCTATCTGATGACAAAGCCACAGTGAATAGCTGAGCGCGCTGCCATGGTAACTTGAAAATGCCGTGCAGGGAAGAACTGAGGAATGGTGAATGGTAAATGGTAAGGGCACACTGAGCAAGAGCGGCGCAATGATTATTCTTCGCCGACTCTCGTGTACAGGGACTCCGT